CGGGGGGGGGGGGGACACACAGGCCAGGGATGAAACTAGGACCCAGGCTCCTCCGGGAAGGCCCAGCCGCCAGCCCGAGAGTTCCAGACCGAGGTCCCACTGCCCAGAGTCTCGAGACTGCCACAAGCCCGCCCTGGGGCCTCGGTGCCCTCGCACCTGCGCTCGCGCTCGCGCAGCTCGTCCAGGCGCCCGGTGAGGCTCTCGCTCTCGGCCTCCAACCCACGCACCAGCTCTTCTAGCTCCTGCTTCCGCAGACGGCCATCGCGGTTGTCCTTCTGCAGCTGCAGCAGCTGCTCCTGCGGCTCAATCATAGCTCCAGCACTCTCCCCGGACCTCCGCCGCCTGGACTATCCGCTGGCCCCGCGTCACAATGGGCAGCGGGGGGCGCCAGAGCCCGACCCGACAGGGGTCACGCCCGATCAATTCAGGTCTACAAATTTCATCAAAGCAGGTGGCCCCTCTAGAATCCTATCTCCTGGGGTGTGGGGACATGAAGGTCAGAAGTTCAAGGTCATCTTTTGCTACACATCGAATTTGAGGCTAGTCAAGGTTACCTGCGAACCTGTCTCAAAAACCACAACAAAAATATCGATTCTCAATCGGATTGATAAAAAATTAATAAAAGTAAAAGACCGGACTTGACGGTTCAAGTCTGTAATCCCAGAAATCCAGAGATTAAGGCAACAGGACCGATCGCCTAGCGCTCAAGGTCAGCACAGCTATATAGCAAGAAGCAAGACTGAACTAGCACAGTAACTGTACTTACAGGATAAGTCAGTTGTAACTCACCTTACATTCTGAGTGACCAAGCAGGGGAACACTAGAATTTTTGAGAAAAATGTTTGAAATTAAGTTCCTTAATTTTCTCTCCCATATGTTGCAACCATGATGACTTTGATGTGGTCTCTGTGGATGGACTTTTGTGCCTTGCTGAGTGCCGGGTGACAGGACACTAAGCAGTGACTGAGGGGTGCATCTGTGGCGCTAGAATGCCATGGCATTCTCTTTGCCTCCTTGACTTTAGCTCTAGAAAACCCAACTGATTGGGCTTGTTGGGTGGTCTGGGTAGGAAGGGAATAATGGTGTTTTGTGATGTGGGTGCTCTGTTAGCACAGAGCCTGGCCTTGAACTCAGGCCTATCCCCTGCCTCCGTCTCCCTGGTACTGGATTACAGGTGTGCACCCTCACACTCGGTTCAATAAATGTATTCTACAATTTGTTTTCAGTTGTGCATATGTTTGTGTGTTGGTATGTACCACGTGTGTGCAGCTGCCTTAGGAGGCCCTCTGATCCTTTGGAGCTGGAGTTTCAGACAGTTGTGAGCCACCTATGTGAGCCTAGTACTGGGAACTAAGTTCAAGGTCTCTGGAAGAGTAGCAAAGAGCTCTAACTGAAGCCTGTGACGTTTTGAAGCCAGTCTGGACTACATAGGCCATGTCTCAAACAAACAAAAACAACAATGAATAGACTTTTTTTTTTTTAGTGTGTTTGGGATACAACTTGGTCCGAAGAATCCTTGCATATACAAGGTGTTAGGTTCAAAACTCCAGTATCACACACACACACACACACACACACACACACACACACACACACACACTTATTTAAAGAACAGACTGTGTCAGTCGAGAGCTCTGGCTAACCTGGAACTCCCCTTGCTGCCAAAATGTGCCTGACCTAGACATCCATAGCTCTCAGATACCGTCAGCACATTTCAGATTCCCAAGTTAGGGTGCTGTGTGGTCATGTCTATACAAATAGTTCAAAACTCCAAGTCTTTGAAACCTGTCTGGCCCTAGGCATTTGGAACAGGGTGTGTGAACACTCGGTTTTTGTATTTGCTGAACTGGGGGCAGAGACAGAGGCTCGATGACTGGTGAGTCTTTCCCTCTGAGAATGCTTCTTCTTCTCCAGCAGCTGTTCCCACCAGACGCCTCATCAGCCATCGCCTGCCCTCCGAGGCCTTTCTTCCCCCTCTGCCTCTGAGCAGCTCCCTTTGTTGGCCACCGCACAAGCACACCTGCAGCTACTCAGCCTTACCAGTCTAGGGCCAGCTCGTCCTTTGTTTGATTTTGTTCCCTTTTATTCCCTTTGATACAGGGTGTCATGTAGCTCAGACTGGCCTGAAACTCAACTGTGTAGCCAAGGATGAGCTGGGCCTCCTTACTCTCCCTCTCACTGCCCAAGTGCCGAGACCATAGATGGCACATCTGTGTTGGCCTTTTCTTGTGGTCAACTGCTGCTTTAATAATGAGGAGGAGGAAGGTTCTTGCTAAGGAGCCCTCGCTAGTCTGTAGCCCAGATTGGCCTCCAAGTTGTGGCAATCTTGTTTTTGAGTCCAAAGGCTTGTACCCCCATCCCTGGCTAAAAATTGGCAGAAGAAAAACACCATGCTATGTTAGAAAGGTAAAAGTTGAGGCAAGATAGAGAAACAAAATTAGGACATGGGAAAGGATAGGAGTCCCGCCCCCATCCTGGAGCCTCCCACCAGGGTCAACATTTGCTGTGTCAGATGTAATGAGCCACTTGTTTACAGACACACAGACACAGGATGCTAACATGACAACGCACTCTGCCACTCTGCTTAATGCCTAAATGTGTGTGACCTCACTTAGGGCATCACCACATACACACACACACACACACACACACACACACTTGCACGTTCAAACACACACATGCACACACATGTGTGAACACACACACTGGCACACTCACACACACATGCACAAGGGCATGCACTTCCAAGACTCAGTATCTCTGGTAACTCTGCATCCCTGTCTTATCAGCAGTGATCCTATTAAATAACCCTCTGAAAGCTCCCTGTGATCTCAGACCTAGGCTCCTTGGCCAACCTTTGAAGACAACAGCTCAAATCCTACCTGTGACCATCATAAAGAACATTTGAATCTGCCTTTAAAAGCCATTGTATAGCAGTTTCCTCAGAGAGGTGCCTCAAGATTCAAAGTCTAAAGTGAAGCTGTTAAGACTCAGGAAGTACCTGAGGCTGAGCAAAGGCATCAGACACCTCCTTCCTCAAGGTCACAGGAGACCAGCCTCACTGCCTGGAAGTTCAGACTAACTCCACTTCCGATTGTGTTGCTCCTGCGGACGGACGGGGAGACCCTCCCCAGTGTTGAGCAGCCCGGAGGCTGTGTGCAGGTTTACAGCTCCCTGTAGGTAGCCCAAAGAAACACATTGTCACCAACTGCTTCACCATGTTGGGCTTTGGTGGAATGTATCCATATATTCTTTGGTCATCAGTTTTCCTATCTGGGGTCAGAAGACAATAGTTTGTTCACCTCTCCCAAGGAAAACTTCCCACAAGAGACCCCCACATCCACACTTGGCTATCTCGCTTCCTTGAGGAGCCCACACCTATGCTCTGGGTGAACCGTTTCTTCTGAGCATCTTGCCATCTCTTACCCCTCATGCTTAAAGTCTGTAATATCTTAGGCTAGTGACATGCTCAGCAGACAAGTCTAGTAAACTGAGTTCAATTTATAGACCCGCAGGAAAGAACTCTGAAGGGCTGTCCTCTGACCTCTACACATGGAGGCCATGGCACAAGTGTGCCACCCCCCAACACCAAAGACACACAAAATAATAAGTCTCATTTTATTCTTTATGTGTATGGGTGTTTTACCAGCATGTCCATGCACCGTGTGCATGCAGTGACTGTGGAGGCCAGAAGAAGGCATCAGATCTTAAAAATGAGTTACAGATTGTTTTGAGCTGTGGGTGCTGGGAATCCAACCAACTCTTCAGGGAAAGGGTTAATAACTGCTGAGCTGTCTCACCAGCCCCCAAAAATGTTTAGTAGAACCTCAAGTATGGGGGTGGTGGTAGCACACAGCTTTAATCCCAGCACTTGTAGGCAGAGGCAGAGCTGGGCTGCTGTGACAGAAGTGGCACCTTGTCCCCACCTCCCTTGACAAAGGCTATACAAAATGACAGCAGCTCACTAAGGACTTGGCAGGCTGACCTCTGTCTACAGCTTGGGAATCTTGGCCTTTTCCTGGCTGCAGACAGGCTCACCTGGGGAGGGTGAAGGATATTCCTGATCTGAGGGTTTCTCCCTGCTACCAGGCTAGGGACCATCTCCTGCCTGGGAAGGGGGTCAGTGCTCCAATGGGTACTATGTACAAGGCTGTAGTTGCCAGGGAAATGGTCAATGTTGGCCCTCCTAAAGGGACACTCACCAATTTGCTCTCTGGACATTTCCTCGGGGCTCTCTCATGCCTTCTCCACCCCTCACCCAAGGTCCAAAATGATCTCTCCTCTATAACATTTTGACCTGTCCACTTCACTGTTCAGCTCCACTAGGGTGCCCCTGGGCAGCTTCTGCAGACCCTGAACAGTCCTCTCCCTTTGCTGGTCCTGTTCTGATGCCCCCAGCCTCATGTCCCCAGTTCCTAGTGCAAACTATAGACCTATCCCCCAGACTTCTCCACTATGGTGGGAAGCCCCCTGCCTCAGCCCAGTATGACTTGGGAGCTCCATTTGGCCCCATGAACAAGGAGGTTGGGGACATGGTCTGGAGGACAGCACTAGCTGCCTTGTGCCACTCACTGGTTGCCACCCCCATTGCCGCAGCTTCAGACCGGATCACTCCAAACTCCCCAAGGTCTGCTTCCCTTGTCACCTCCCTAATAACCTTCCAGAAACCCTCCATGGCTGTGACTTCACAAAACCCAAGTTCAAGTCAGTGCTCACTGGGCTCCAAGGCACAGAACCCTGCCACCTGCTGCTCCTTAGGCATGTACCTGCAAGGACACTGTGCCTTTACAGCATCCCAGCACCCAAATAACAACCCACCCTGCCCGATGTGGTCACTGTGTCCTTGGTGCTCAGCAGTAGGCAGCCACTGGAACTCAGGACAGTGTCCAGAACGTAAGAAGGTATTGTTTGTACAGAGTTTTGCTACAGAAAGCTGGCCTGGTGACCAAGGACACTGGCTCCTGGGGGGAGAAGCTGGTATTCCAAAGCCAGGTAGATATGGCCTCAAGATTCCACAGCCAAATCCACCAACTTACCAGGATTCCCCTTCTTCCGTTTGCTGCCCCTAACTCTGACACTCTCACACATCTGGGCATCTGTAAGCCCACTGGGCCACTGGGATCATGGCAGGCAGGGGGTGGGGGGTGGGGGTGGGGGGCCCACAAGCAGCCATGACTTCTTTCCACTTTACATCCATCTCTCAGTAGCATTCCCATTCATACCAAAGATGCTAGAGCTGGTTACAGTCTTCTCCCTGGCGCTATCTGAATGATATGTCTTGGCCCTCACCTGGTGAGTAGGCCATCGAGGTGAGACATGGATTGTTGATGGTGCGCTGGGGAGAAAAGGGAGGAGTCTGGACACCTGACCTGCTTCGTTAGCACCCACACCACACCTAACGAATCCCACTGTAGGTGTAGGCCAGGGGCCAGCAGTTGGTATCTGTTATATGTCCGGATACACTACCCAAATTCCTGTGCCCTGGATCCTGGGCCACATCTGTCCATACTGAATCCCAGACCTGCCCTATAGTGGTCACTTCAGCCATGTGGTGGCTTCATTTGCCATCAAAATAAATGTCTGTGGGCAGGGTCTTTGATGATGATGGCAGGAAGGTACACTTGACACTTTCATTACCAAAGTCAAGCCTGACTGAAGGCAGGTTTAAAGGCAGCTATAGGACCAGGGAAACAGAAACTTGTCTGCACTTGACAGTGAGATTTTACAGTGTGTGTGTGTGTGTGTGTGTGTGTGTGTGTGTGTGTGTGTATACTTCACAGCACGCAG